CTCTAACCACTAGCCCCCACTCCCCTCCCAGAGCCGGGGAGAGAACCCTGGAGTCCTGGCTCCCAGCCCCCCCGCTCTAACCACTAGCCCCCACTCCCCTCCCAGAGCCGGGGAGAGAACCCTGGAGTCCTGGCTCCCAGCCCCCCCGCTCTAACCACTAGCCCCCACTCCCCTCCCAGAGCCGGGGAGAGAACCCTGGAGTCCTCGGCTCCCAGCCCCCCCGCTCTAACCACTAGCCCCCACTCCCCTCCCAGAGCCGGGGAGAGAACCCTGGAGTCCTGGCTCCCAGCACCCCCATTATCTCTGTTCTCCCCGCAGCAGGCTGAAGGGCACCCGGGCAGCAGGGAAGGAGACTGGGAAGCCGAAGTCAACGTCGGATGCAGAGGTGGCTGATTATCTGACGAAGCTGCTGGAGGAGAGTGACCAGGAGGAAGAGCCAAAAGAGGGGGGAGAGTAGGGACAGGCTGGGGGGGAGCCCCCCCTCACCTGGGCTGCTGCACCCCTCATACAATAAAGGGTTAATTTCCCCCCCCCTTACTTCTTTCCTGATCAGCTGGGGAGTGGGGCACATGCTGTTCCCACATTCCCTTCCCCCATCCGGATCATCCGGATCCCTGTATACACAGCCCCCGCGCTCCACCCCAGAACGGGGGCAAGGAATGGGACACGGGGCCTTTCCCCTCTAACCACTAGACCTCACTCCCCTCCCATAGCCAGGGAGAGAACCCAGGAGTCCTGGCTCCCAGCCCCCCCCCCCCACTCTAACCACTAGACCACACTCCGCAGCATGCGACGCAGGACAAGGAAGCACAGAGCAGTGGGCCTGAGACACAAAAGTGTTTTAAAAACAAATGACACTTCCGTGCGACAGACGCCTCTTCGCTGGGTCAGGGGAGACAGCACCCAGCCTCCAAGCTCTGCCGTCCCAGCGCCGGGCAAGGGGTCCCCGGATACCCAGCCCCCGTGCTCTACCCCAGAGGGGCCACATCTCTGTCCCTCTGGCCTGGGGCCAGTTCGGTTCATCTGTCTCACAGTCCCGTGGGTGCTCCCTGAATCAGCGAGGGGGTGGGGGGTGCTGGTCCCAGACGGATCCCCCATCCAACTCGCCCCCTCCAGGGCTCTGTCCCAAAAAGCATCTGGAAGAGACGGACAGTCAGTCATAAGCTACAGGGGGGGCTCTGAGTTGGGGGGATAATTGTATCGGGGGGCCCTGCCAATGCCCCCCACCCATCAGAATGGCCCATCCAGATGTTTCACACCCCTTGGTTAAGCTGTCCTCCCCTGCACCCCCAGAACAGCACCCTAATCCCAGTGACCTGGCTCCCTGCTCCCCCTTCCCGCACTGGGGCCCCCCTTCCCCCCCTCACAACACCAGCCTCCCCCCCTCACCGCACCAGGGCCCAGTTCCCAGCCACAGTCATAAAATTTGATGAAGATGATTGGGGGGGGGGGGAGGCAGTGGGGGGAACGTGGCACGTGGGGGGGGTTGTGCTGGTGGGGGGGGAGGGGAGGTTGGGGTTCCCTCTCAGCCCTTTCCCAGGGGGCAGGGTTTGGGGAGAAGGACAATGTGGGCAGGGTCAGGGGTGGACAGGGTTTGGGGGCAGGGTTTGGAGGGACCCGAGGGGTGGGGTTTGGGGGCATTGTTTGGGGGGCACGGGGAGAGGGCAGCAGGGACAAGGTTTGGGGGCAGGATTTGGGGGACACACAAGGCAGGGCTGGGGGGCAGGGTTTGGGGGCACATGGGGCAGAGCAGTAGGGACAGAGTTTGGGGATAGGGTTTGGGGGCAGCATTTGGGGGGCACACAGGGCAGGGCTTGGGGGCCACAGGGGGAAGGGCAGCAGGGACAGGGTTTGGGGGCACACGGGGGAGGGTTACCTCTAGACCGTCTCCCGGGGCGGGGGCCCCTGGCTCCCCCGGACGGGGCCCAAGGCCAGCGGGCCGGGCTGACGCCGCGACCAGCGGCGGGAGATCTTGCGGGCGAGGCGGGCCAGGGTGCCCCCCTTGGCAGCGTAGTCCCGCCCCAGCTCGTCGGGCGCCAGCTCCAGGTTGCCCGTGTACCAGAGCACCCAGCCCAGCAGGCTCAGGAAGACCAGCACCGCCCCCGAGTAGATCAGCAGGTCCCCAAAGTCCTGGCCCCGCACCCGCAGCCGGGCGAAGATGCCCGTCAGCAGCGCCCCCATGCCCGCCCCGTCCAGCAGCAGCGCCAGGCCCAGCGCCAGGCGGCACCGGCCCAGCCCCCCCGAGGCCATGGCGGGGGGCAGGTCCCGAGGGGTGCGGGGGGGGGCGGCAGAGACCCAGCAGGGATCCGGGCTGGCGCTGGGCAGGGAGGTGGCAGCCAGGTGCGCTGAGAACCGGCCCGGCTGGTGGGGGGGGGGCAGGGCGGGACCCAGCAGGTATCGCTCCCTGCCCGGGTTAACCCTTCCCTGCCCACCACAGGCCGACAGGCGCGGCTGGGATGGTCACGTCTAGCTGGGGAGAGAACCCAGGCGTCCTGGCTCCCAGCCCTCCCCCCACTTCTAACCACTAGATGCCGCTCCCCTCCCAGAGCCAGGGAGAGAACCCAGGAGTCCTGGCTCCCTCCTTCTAACCACTAACCCCCATTCCCCTCCCAGAGCTGGGCAGAGAACCCAGGCGTCCTGGCTCCCAACCCCCACACACAATGGTGGGCGGGGCCTGGCTCGAGGTCACTCAGATTCGCTCTACCTGCTGAGATCAAAGGAGACGCTGCCTACCCCTAAGCCCCGCCCCCAGGTGTGTGCTATCCAATCAGCTGTGCCGCACGCCCCCCCCCCTCTTCCTGCTCACCTTTACCTGTCCGACCAATGAGAGCCCAGACGGTGGGGAAGGCGGGGTGGAGGTTGCTTTAACCCATTCAGAACGGGTACCGGCCGCTGAATGTTATCAACCCAGCATGGGTGAAACCTCCCCAGAGACAACCCTGAGTCCCTGGCTGCCCCCCCCCCCCACGATCCC